CTTGCTCCAGACCAGGAACCAACATCTACACCGGCTTGGCACCGCCGGATATGCCGGTAAGGAAGAGGAATGGCAGCGTGAGGATGAAGAAGCGGAGGAATCGAACACACCGCTCGTGTTTGGCGATATCCCACACCCTCGGGCTAGGAACTGGGCCAGGGCCAGGTACCAGAAGAATGATGATGGCACAATCTTCATGCCAAATGCAGAAGATCAACGAGTATACGAATCTATAGTAAGTGTCTAGTCAAACTAGATGTTCGCATTGTTTCCCATCGTGCAGTTTATTTAACCCCACTAAATTGTAATGCAGAAGGAGTTGGTTGCCGAGAAACAAGCCTCGCAAGAGGCCTGCTCTCAAAGACGCGAGGACGACCTCCTCACGAAAGCATTGGGCAACAAGGAACACCATGGACGGACACGGGGCGTTGGGTCTTCTGTTCCCTGGAAGTATGGATTTCCAGACTACGCGTGGCAGTACAAGAAGCGGACTTCCAACAAGGCGGAGAAAGATGCACGCCTTGAAGCCAAGATCCGGGCGTCGATAAGAGCTGAGCTGACATCTGAATTCGACGAAAAGCTCGAGTCGATGAGGGCCAAGATTAGGCAAGAGATCCGAGAAGAGCAACAGAACCCCCAGGCCATCGCTGCTGCTACGCACGAAGAGTTAGGAAGTCCCACCCAAAAACGCAGCAGTTGCGCATCAACTGAGTTGGCGAAAAATCCAACATCGGTCGACAGCGCCGTCGACCACATAACGGTAAAAGTGAACTTACTCAATACATGAAAAACTTAACGAATCCATATGATATATAATATTCTAAAAAAATTGATTAATCTATCGCAGGAACCAACGAGCTGCACCCTCACAATTAGGATGATGCCGACCTTCACGGTTCCAGCAGCCGAGGGACTTGCGTACAAGCCGACCCTAGAGACAAGAGTGCATGGAGCGCAACTCAGGGCCGACTGTGCGAAAGTTCAAGTCGACTCGGTGAAGCCCGAATACGAGCTGTTCCCTCTGAAGTATCCACCGAACGACAAGGTCCTCTCACTAGGAAATGCCCGTGGTACCTTCATCCAATGGCCCAAGGACCTCATTGAGATCAGGGTTACAACGAGGCCAACCACTGCACCAGGAGGTCGTCCACCAAAGAGACCCGCCTCTGCTCCTTCAGCCCCTCCTGCTCAAGATCGTCATGCACAATCTTACGGTGTGCAGTTGCAGTACGACACGGATTTTGCGGAGGACCGAACGGAGGCCGACAGCAAGGCGATTCATGAACCCCCACCGATGAAGAAGAGCAGGAAGGCACACTCTTCCCCTAAGAGAATTACTCTCGATAAACCCGAAGCAAAGGGGAGAGGAAGGGGAGGAAAGGTGCAGGCCTCGCTTCTAGCTCCAAGGAAGCTAGATCTGGGCAAGGGCCAGGAAGAGACTAAGGGCAAAGAGGTCAAGAAGAAATACGTCGCTCCACAGGAGTTCCAACTAGGCATGCCATTGGTTGGAGATGACGTGCTTGCCGCAATGGGCACCGCTTGCAAGGACCTTCACTTATACTACATGGAGAAATCTAACGCCCAGAAGCCGAATAAAGCTACCGATATCCTTGGAGAGCACGATAGAAAGCCATTCCTTGGTCCAACAAATTATATCGTGGTCGACTTCAAGGATCTTTTCGACCTCTACAAGCTCCGAGCGGTGGACACAAGCCTCCTTAAGTGCTACTCCTTGTAAGTATTGTCGCCCAACTCAATCTGATAATAACAATCGGTTTAACTTGCTTACAAGATCGTTTATCCTGTGTGTAGGTTAAGTTGGCAATGGTGTCAAAAGCATGCACCGGAAGTTGCCTTCCTTGATCCACAAGTGGTCACTGTCACAAATCTCCAGAATGACCGTCAAGGAATGGTCAACTACATCTACGACACCTTGTGGTCCCGCTGAGACAAGGAGTACATTATGTGCGCCTATAATCAATAGTAAGTGTGTTATCTAAATATACGCAACAGCATGACACATTCCTTGAGTACTTAATTAACTTTCACTATATTAATGCCGCAGTGCCCATTGGATCCTTCTGGTCATAATACCTAAGTGGAGTACATTTCACTACCTGAACTCCAGAATTGATAAGAACGCATATGATTGGACCCCAATTCAACAAGCGATAGATGAAGCGTGGGCCCAATACATGCAAAGAGGAGGCCTCAGGAAGACAGGACATGACACCCTCATCCACAAAAAAGACTTTCCGGTGAAGCAACAAATAGGTGACCAGTGCGGATTCCATGTGTGCCACAACATGCGCCTTTTGTATAGAGAAAAGGTGAAGACCTTGGCTGAGTTTGAGGTCGGTGGTCTCAATTGTGATAGACTAACTACATTTTAGTACTTATATATGATCGATCAACTAATCTGGAATTATGACAATGTAGGGCATAATAACCAAGTCTCTGCCTACCAGCTTTGAGGAGGTTCGCGAGGAGATAGCCAGCTTCATCCTCCGCGAAATAATTAACCCCAAAGGAATGTTTAGGTTTAAACTAAAATGATGAATAATGTTGAACTTCTATGTTTAGGCAATGATGAACACTTATTATGCAATTGTGATGATGTAACTGTGATACTTATATTTATGTATATATTTCATATGTTTATGTTAAGACTTGCTAAATAAATATTTGATCCAATTAACTCGGTTTTGCAGGTGAAATATGATAAATATTTGAATGGATGTGAAATATATGAATGGATGTGAAATATGAGATGGCTGTGAATGTGTGGTTGTGTGAAATATGTTGATGTCTGTGTATGTGAATGCATATGTATATGAATGGGTGATGCTGGGGAGCTGGGGATATTGGATATATGTGTTTGTTTCTGTCATTTTTGCAGCGGGCATGGCTAGCAAAGGCCTAAGGCTAGCCAAAAAACAAAATTTATTTTTTTTTTGGATTATAGTCATCTGTGACAGGTCATAACTAAATGCCCGATTGAGATAAGGTCATCTGTGACGGGCTCTAGTTTAGGCCCGATTGAGGTCAGTAGTCATCTGTGACGGGCTCTAGTTTAGTCCCGATTGAGGTCAGTAGTCATCTGTGATGGGCTCTATTTTAGGCCCGATTAAGGTCATCAGTCATCTGTGACGGGCTATAGTTTAGGCCCGATTGAGATAAGTATCATCTGTGACGGGCTCTAGTTTAGGCCCAATAAAGGTTAGTAGTCATCTGTGACGGGCGCTAGTTGTGGCCCAATAAAGATAGGTCATCTGTCACGGGCTATAGTTTGACTGGTCGTCTGGCTCAAAGCTATCGGTGACGGGCTTTACTTAGGGCCCGATTGAGATATATTCATTCGTGACGGCCGTTTGTCCGATTGAGATAACTCTTCACATCAGTGACTTCTAGCCTGTGACGGACGCTGTGCTCGATTGAGATGGGGCTTACCGCCCGATTGAGATGAGGGTATCCGTTCTAGTGTTAGAACACGGGAATTTTATAGAAATTTTGTAGGATTCACTTCAGTCCCTTTAAAATTTCTCCAATTCAAAGGACACCACTTGTGCACATTTCTATTCGCATCCGCAAAGGGACTAGACCCACCTTGTCGGTGACTCAAGAATGTTGTTTTATCTGCAAAATAAGCTAGCATCGTACCACATGAACATTGTGTTTTAATTTGGATGATCAAGGGAAACACTCCCCACGTACACTCTTAATGATCAAAAGAAAAGCAGCACATGCATGCAGCCTAATTATTTCTATCAATATATAGTACTTCCTCCGTTTCATAATGTAAGACTTTCTAGCATTGTCCACATTTGTATAGATGTTAATGAATCTAGACATATATGTGTTTAGATTTATTAATATCTATATGAATATGGGCAATGATAGAAAGTCTTATATTATGAAACAGAGGGAGTAGCAGGGCCATGCCGACAAATTTGTAGGCCCTGTTCAAGGCTCTAAGTGAGGCCTAAATAAAGTACCAAATATGGCTAAAATAATATATATACTGTAAAGCAAATGCGATATATCAAGAATAGTACATTTTTTAACTCTTGTTTTGCATAATCAAAAACTGTCAAACTGAAAACGAAGAATGTTCGTTGCTGTTGCTGGCTTGCTGCCTAGTGCCTTGCTTGTTGGTTGCTTGCTAAGTTGCTATTCGCTGGTTGAATGAAAATATGAAATTGGATGAGCCGGCTGGCGGCCTGGTGCTCGGACATCGAGACTCGAGACGAACTGAATAAGTCACAGATACGAAAACGAAAGAGAATACAAAACACCGTGGGGCCTCGGGGCTCGGAGTCGAGAATAGGAATCGCCAGGCACGCGAAGTCGCCACGCGGAGACACACGCGGACTCGAACGGGGTTCTGGCGCTCTGGCCTCACATGAATACATGGGCCTTCTTCGATTGGACTGATTTTTTGAGGCCCTAGAAATTTGGATGCCCCGTACACTCGCACGGGCCGCACGCCCGTGTGCACGGCCCGGAGTAGTATATATATCTTTTTCGCGCCAGCTCGATCATTCTACTTAATTAATTTGCAACTTAATTTGTCAAAGATTATCATATCCATTAGGCACTACTGCAGTACAGATTAGGCAGGTGCCAAGTTAGGCCTTGGAACAGATTAGACGACTTAATTGCAAAGCAAAGTAACGGATGAGATGCACTAATTTAATCCATGTAACTAACGTGAGTAATTAACCGGCGCCAAGAAACGGAAACAACACCCAGCACGCAAGTTACATGGAATCGATCGATCTAATCTAATCTCGAATATATCGATATCGAAATCGTCGCAGAAAGGGAAAGAACATTCCATGGATGTGTTTAGGCATCACAACCGGATTAGTCATTTCTCCTAGTATGTAGCACAGTGTGCAGTACACCGCACGCAAGAGCCGAGAGGGCCACGTGGCGCGATCCCATTGGTTGGAGAGGCCTATTTAGGCGCGCCCCCGCGCGCGCCATGTCTGTCTGAACACCCTCGCCGCCGCGACACACATCGCCGTCGTCGGAGGAGGAGACACCATGGCGGCGGCGGCCTTCTCATGCTGCCATGGCGCCGGCGGCATGGTGGTGATCGTGGTGGTGGTGATGGCGATGTTGGGAGGGGTGGTCGCCGGCGGGGAGCCGCCGTTCTCGTGCGGCGGGGCGGCGGCGGGCGGCGGGCAGGGGTACGCGTTCTGCGACGCGACGCTGCCGGCGGAGCAGCGGGCGGCGGACCTGGTGGCGAGGCTGACGGCGGCGGAGAAGGTGGCGCAGCTCGGGGACCAGGCGGCGGGCGTGCCGCGGCTGGGCGTCCCGGCGTACAAGTGGTGGTCGGAGGCGCTCCACGGGCTGGCCACCTCCGGCAGAGGGCTCCACTTCGACGCCCCCGGCTCCGCCGCGCGCGCCGCCACCAGCTTCCCCCAGGTCCTCCTCACCGCCGCCGCCTTCGACGACGACCTCTGGTTCCGCATCGGCCAGGTACGTACGTTCGTATCCGCAACTGTGCGCGCCTTTCCCGGCCCGCACCGGCGATCCGACGGCGCGGCGGCGCCGCCGCCGCGGCCATTATGGGTCGCCGGGCCCGTGGACGAAGGCGCGCGAGCGCGCCATGCACGACGCATGAGCATTTTGGGGGTGTTTTTTTTTGGTTTTTTTTTTAGCTCGTTGCGGTCTCGGGGGGTTTTGTGATCCGTGACAAAAAGGGACAAAGTGGCGAGGGGTTATGTTAAGAATTACTCGTCGACGTGACTGTGGGATCTGGGATCGATCTGTCAACAGTAATTGTAAATTAGTGCAAATTAATTTATTAGCTACTCCCTCCTTGTTTAAATTTGATTTTGTTTATTCGAAATTTTAGAATTTAACAACCAATAGCTCTTAAAGTATGGCAGAATGTTTCTTTGCAAGTACTTCTACAATATTAGAGTTTTGTTACATATTATCGTTAGTCTAATAAAAAAAATAGTGATCAAAATTGCAAACCAATGATAAGTAAAATTAATAGTATCATCATATATATGAAATAGAGATACTAGCTAATAAATTCTATTGACATGTGCGCACAGCGTATCAATGGGTATAACCGCTTAAGACACACGTGTTAGAAACAAATATGTGAGAAACACTCAGGGGTCTTCCGGTTAGCTCCACAAGTTGGTGGGCTAGCCGATCTAAGTTCGAAGTCTCACCCCTTTTAATTATTTTGTTAGGAACAAATCTGTCTAGTGAGCGCACCCACGTGTGTGTAAAATTTGCCTAGCATTTGAATCCCTGGATTGGTTGAATTCACACACCTATGGCTCTATGGTCACACCAAAAGCATTTCTCCCTTAAATTTAATAAAATCGAGTCGTGGAACTTGGAAGTGTTGATTGTTCACACAACTTAATTTGTGGAAACTTGTAAGTCAACCTCTGCGACTATTAAGTTGATCAACGTAACTAAGCTAGATGCCAATTGTGCTTGTTTTTTCTTCATAGAGGTTTGGTGGAAGTGCACTTAATTAGGTTTTGGACCAAAGACAAAATAAGGAATTTGTCCCGTTTAGAATGTATATTCTTACCCAACATTGATAGGGTGTGTTCGGAGGTGGTGGTCGGGAACTTCGCCTCAGTATTAGCTAAAATAAACTTGAAAATAAATTAATATGATATTTTAAAATAACTTTCCTATAGGCTTTTATTTTGAAGTGGAAGCGGCAAAAGCTTTGCCGATTATATTAGGAGATCAGAAATTAATGCAGTCTAGCTGTTGCGCTTATACATATTGCGCTAATACAGAATTACATTGAAACCCTTTAGGCTAGAAAAGCTTCAACTAGGGATTAAAGGTAGAGAAGATAGCAATGATCCTATAGGCATATAAAAAATACACCGTGAGTTTGGCCTTATATACTTCTTTCTGTAGGGAGATTTTTCGCATATAAAACAGGGCTTTACCAAGTCCAAATACTACTAATTAATATATTATCACTACTATTATTCCATGTCCAAAAACCTTGGGACAAACTGCTGGGGTCAACTAGGAATTAAAGATGTAGCGGCCACACCACACGTGAATATGTGCGGTTCGTGCCAAAGACAAGCAGCAGAATGTTTCTGCGAGAAAAGAGGCGACTTTTTTCTCGTGTTAGGACGTCACATGTGACTGGTACATGCATCCGTATGAGTATGTAGATCGGACCTTTGCAACTGTACCTACCACCTAATCTTTTTGTTGAGTCCTCTCCGTGGGTATGGAGTGACCACATGCTATGAATCTTTAAATTCTTTCCTAAGAGCTGGCAATGGCTTATTTATGGCTTTATTAATAAGTAAGCATTAATAAGTTTTTTTTTTAAAAAAGTAAGCATTAACCAATGTGTCAACACATGGCGTAGAAAAACTATATATTAGGGTGGGCATTTGTCATCTTCCTTACAAATCGATCTAATCAGTTGAGATACGGTTGATAAGCCAATGTCATGTAAATGGAGCAACTAAAAATAACTTATGGGTGAAACTTTTGAAGAGAAATATTTATTAGCATTCGTACAATTGAAACTATGTCAGACAAAATGAACATATGCTCTTCTTTTCCGATTTGGCCATTAAAGCCATCCCAGCACTTACACAACCAGTACCCTTGGGCCTCACGTTCTTGCCGCATTGGCACCTTAAATATTTCACAAAGTTTCATTTCACCTCCATAGCTTCATCGATCAGGTGTAGGCAAAAAGCGAACAGGGAGCGCTTCATTATTAGCTTCACTAATACTTTCGGTATTCTCTTTGCAAAAAGGGTCTCACCATGTGGTCACCAATCGTGTGTTGCAAGCATGCGTGCATATACCAGCTCATATCACTCACTCTGGATTATTGCATTTGCGTGCCACGTGAAATGCACACATTTGGCCGAAATATAATCATCACGAAAAGGCACATTGTGTGTACACCATCATGTAGGCCATCGGCACGGAGGCGAGGGCGCTGTACAACATTGGCCAGGCAGAGGGGCTGACCATGTGGTCCCCCAACGTGAACATCTTCAGGGACCCGCGGTGGGGCCGTGGCCAGGAGACCCCCGGCGAGGACCCCACCATGGCGAGCAAGTACGCCGTCGCCTTTGTCAAGGGGATGCAGGGGAACTCGTCGGCGATCCTCCAGACCTCCGCGTGCTGTAAGCACGTCACCGCGTATGACCTCGAGGATTGGAACGGTGTCCAACGCTACAATTTCAACGCAAAAGTGAGTCCCGTCACACTACTATATATAGACAGACGGGTCATTAGTGACGGTTCGAAACCGTGCATTATTGGTATTGTTTTTTTTAGGTGACGGCGCAGGATCTAGAGGACACATACAACCCGCCGTTCAGGAGCTGCGTGGTGGACGCCAAGGCTACGTGCATAATGTGCGCCTACACTGGCATCAATGGCGTCCCGGCCTGCGCGAACGCCGACCTCCTGACCAAGACCGTCAGGGGAGACTGGGGCCTGGACGGGTACGTGAGTCAAGTCATGTCTTCGTTGTTGTTTGATTCCGTGATGAATTTAGTCATGTCATCACGAGTGCTGATGCGTCTTGGGTTTTGGTTTTGGGGCTGGTTGCTTGCTGCAGGTACATCGCCTCGGACTGCGACGCGGTCGCCATCATGCGTGATGCGCAGCGCTACACACAGACGCCGGAGGACGCCGTCGCCGTCGCCCTCAAGGCCGGTACGTGCTGGCTCGTGATGACGATGGTCAATTCGTCACTTTCTCCAATAGCATTTACCTAAAGAAGGAAACTGTTTTAATCCCTCGAGGGGATATATATCCCCTCGTTCTTTCCATGTCACTTAAATGGTTATAAAAAAATTTGAAAAAAATTAGAAAGGTGTGTTAACATGTGATATAACACTCCACAAACATGCAAGTTCAAATTCAACTTCTACATCTCGTAACGAAAAAAACAAATTGAACCGCAGCTAGTTAACGTATATTCAGAGTCAAATTTGTTTTTTTCGTTGCGAGATATAGAAGTTGAATTTTTACTTGCATGTTTGTGGAGTGATATATCACATATTAATACATCTTCTTAAATTTTTTCAAATTTTTTCATAACCATTTGAGTGACATGCAAACAACGAGGGGATATCCCCTCGAGGGATCAAAATCCTCTTCCCCTAAAGAAGACAAGCTTAAGTATTATAAAGTGAAAGCTGGACTGATTCATTTAACCAACGCCAATTGGACAGAGAAACAATTCGGTTCATCAGAAGCTTAATTGTTCCAAAAATAACTTGGACAGATTTGGATTAATTTTAAGTGATTTGGGAATTTCAGGATTGGACATGAACTGTGGCACCTACATGCAGCAGCACGCCACGGCGGCGATCCAGCAGGGGAAGCTGACGGAGGAGGACATCGACAAGGCGCTCAAGAACCTCTTCGCCATCCGGATGCGGCTCGGGCACTTCGACGGCGATCCCAGGAGCAACAGCGTGTACGGCGGGCTCGGGGCTGCCGACATCTGCACACCGGAGCACAGGAGCCTCGCGCTCGAGGCGGCGATGGACGGCATTGTCTTGCTCAAGAACGACGCCGGCATCCTCCCGCTCGACCGGACGGCGGTGGCCTCCGCGGCAGTCATTGGCCCCAATGCCAATGATGGCCTGGCCCTCATCGGCAACTATTTCGGCCCGCCGTGTGAATCGACGACGCCGCTCAACGGCATACTGGGGTACATCAAGAACGTGAGGTTCCTCGCTGGTTGCAATTCGGCGGCCTGCGACGTAGCCGCCACGGACCAAGCTGCTGCGGTAGCGAGCTCTTCGGATTATGTCTTCCTGTTCATGGGGCTCAGCCAGAAGCAGGAGAGCGAAGGGCGCGACAGGACAAGCCTGTTGCTCCCCGGGGAGCAGCAAAGCCTCATCACCGCCGTAGCCGACGCGGCGAAGCGCCCTGTGATCCTGGTGCTCCTCACCGGTGGCCCGGTGGACGTCACGTTCGCGCAGACGAACCCAAAGATCGGCGCCATCCTGTGGGCTGGTTACCCAGGGCAAGCTGGTGGTCTCGCCATCGCCAGGGTGCTCTTCGGTGACCACAACCCCGGTGGGAGGCTGCCAGTGACATGGTACCCAGAAGAGTTCACCAAGGTGCCCATGACGGACATGCGGATGCGTGCCGACCCAGCCACCGGCTACCCTGGCCGGAGCTATCGCTTCTACCAGGGCAAGACCGTCTACAAGTTCGGCTACGGTCTCAGCTACTCCAGCTACTCACGTCAGCTGGTCTCTGGTGGTAAGCCAGCAGAGTCCTACACCAACCTACTTGCTAGTCTGAGGACAACAACAACATCAGAAGGTGATGAGAGCTACCACATTGAAGAGATCGGCACTGACGGCTGTGAGCAGCTCAAGTTCCCGGCGGTTGTGGAGGTGCAGAACCATGGCCCCATGGATGGCAAGCACTCTGTGCTCATGTACCTCCGGTGGCCGAATGCTAAGGGCGGCCGCCCGACAACCCAGCTGATCGGTTTCAGGAGCCAGCATCTCAAGGTAGGGGAGAAGGCCAACATCAGGTTTGACATCAGCCCATGTGAGCACTTCAGCAGGGTAAGGAAAGACGGCAAGAAGGTGATCGACAGAGGGTCTCACTACCTCATGGTTGACAAGGATGAGTTAGAGATTAGATTCGAGGCCTGAGTTTTAGATGGAGGGAAGGAATTACAGGTGGTGCATACGGTGCAATTCTTTCACTGTATAATTTATTTGTTGCAGTGGTTATGATTCAGTTGCCTCGGAAACTGAGGTTTCTAGGCTCCAGGAGATGTGTTTAGCACCTTTTCAGGTATAGCTCACACATTATTCCAGACCAGAAATGTCTCCCAGACTCCCGGTATCTTTGAAATGGATAGTCTGGGGAACATGTAAAATGGATTATTGATTTACCACCTCACAATTAACGAGCAATAATATTTTATACCCTTCTCTGTATTTAGAGTGCAATGCAAACTACATGCAAAGTGTCATTCTAACTTGTGTTAATTACTAAAAGCTTACTATGCGGCACCATGTCAGATATGCACTTTTCTTGATCGATTCAGTTTGCCTCCTATAGAAGTACAGAACAAAAGCTACCATGCCTGGTACATATCAACACAGCATGTGATATACTACTACATAAATGAAAGTAGTCGAGACAAACCAATTGGAGAGACGAGATCTTCACAAACTCTTCTGCCTGAACATAGCTTCATATAGTTCTGTCATCTGTCGCACATAAGTGCAAAAGTAAGCACAAAGGTAGTTAGCAAAGGTGGTTGTTTATACTTAAATAATTGTCGCATGTTTTTACTTTGCTTACCATGACCAAGACACTCTTTTAGCATGCGCATGTGATGAGCACTTTCCTTGCTCAAACATCCTTGAAAAGGAGCTGGAATTTGGGTATCCTCTCTGGTGGAAGTGGGCAAGAAACAATCAGTTTACCTTTCATCGCACCCCTAAATATTGCCTGCCATTAAGATATCAGAAGGCAGAAGTGAACTACTGTTTTAACATGTTATTCATGAACCAATAAACTGCTAAATTAAGCAGGAGTTGAACTTCATAAATGTCAATCGTCAAGACAGCACAGCTGCGATTAATTGACTTAGCTGAATTAGTGGAGAGGAATGGCACAGATGATGATAAATCCCATATGATAGCGGTGTTAAAATTGACAGTTTATCTGCTGAACTACTTTAAAATGTAAGGATTACAAGAACAGGAAAATCGTACCAAAAGATACGCTACAGTGAGAAAATATTCCTCCGGCTCCAAAACAGACAGTGCTGAATATAGATCTCACATGACACATGAGATCTGAAAGGATCTAAGAGTTGTAGTTTTCATAAAACAGAAGGGAATGCTGGACCACTTGCTGTATTGTAACTGGCCATTGCTTTCAGACAGAAAGCAATCCATACCCTTGCCAAATTGTTCACTATGGCACATCATGACCTTCCTGGTGAACAAGTACAAACCAAAGCATACATCTAACTGCTGTATGGTTGTACCTTAGGCCTTGTGGACTGCTATAAACAAGAACATTCTAAAGAATAAAAGATCAAGAGACCAAATTAAAACTTTCAAAGGTTTGTGAATTATCTTGGGCAGGTAAAGGGGGCATCCTGGAATAACCAGTACTGAGGTGACCCGAAAGGCAGTCAAAGAAAATTTGGCCTCCTAGAACAACCACAAATTGATTCCCCTAGAGTGAACCATCTCAATTTTCCTTCACCTTATAGATGTCCATTATTGTTTCCCATATTCTTTAGTTATGTACTCTATGAATCATTTTGAAGATAAAGTAAATTTCACAACTATTAATTTATTGGCCTCATTCATACGCCATCACATTTTTTTTTTGGCCTAACCTGGACCGGGATGACAAAGTAGAAGGAAAAAAGCAAAGTCGAGATTTACAACATTGGTCAATTGACAAAGAAAAAGGTTGTTCTTAAATCTTAATCCCATGAAAAGCTTATTGGCCCACTCACCTCAACTACATCAATGAAATCTTGCTTGCTGCTGAAAGAGCCAATCCATTTTGTGTGATCAGGTGTCCTGCGTATATACATTACAATAAGTTTGGCATATTTGTGATGCAGCTATAGTACACCCTAAAACAACTAATAAGAAAAGTGCAATGAGAAAAATATTTTTGTTGGTGCATATCACTCAATATCAAAGAAAACAACATTCTTTAAGAATTGACTCAAAGGAACTGAATTTGTTCTGAATTGCAGCCATTATTTCATTATTCACTTGTTTTCACAAAATTTAATTCCATACGTTTCATAATAAAAAAGAAGAGTTAGAGTACTACTTAAAGTTGACTTTAAAAAAGGAAGCAGAAATATTCATCAAAACTCCGAAGTCAGTAGCTTTCATTTTTTTCTAACAAGCATATTCAAATTTTAGAAAGAAATACATGTTCACGGTGTCATTTAGGTTCACCACACAATTCCCATAGAGCATTAAAACTTACAAAAAAAACTGTAGCTCATATTTTTGTTAATAGATCTTAAGATCTCAAAAAATTTTCCTATAACTTCAAAAAGTCTTGGTCATCAGTAATCACGCTAAAGTAGAGCTTAATTACTGAAGCAAGGAGACACTGGTTGATTCTTACTCTTCGCTCGATATGTTCCACTGAGTCTTTTTGCTGACCAGTAACCCTTTTATAAATTCATACTATTTATAATTTTGTCCATAGCTATTCCTGAAGCTAGCACTTTCAACATAAATTTATAGAGTAGAGTATAAACTAATTTTTCAACCTTTGTTGATATGACTTATGGATGACATGTGAAAACCAAGTATTAGTAACTGCAGCGATAGTATAGTGTACATAAATAGCTGATAAGAAATTATGTTCACGGTGGACTACTAGAATTTAAGAGACAAGACTTGAACGATGGTAAGGAACTCAAGCAAGTTGAAAATAAGGCCACATCCAATGATCCAAATAACATTATACCACCACTAAGGTAAACACAAAACAACAAACTTATACCCTGAGTCCATCTTCATGTGTTGGGCATTGAAGAAAAAAATGGTAGCTGGAACCAAAGTGATATCGAAATAGTCAATGTAGACTTGCATCTCCTCAGAATCCATATCGACCAATGCTACCGTCGCAAACCTTGATATGTCCCAAGAAGATTTAGCGAGCTGTTAAAAAAGGAAAAACAGGGAAATATAATTAACCAGCACGCAGAAGCCATGCAACTCCCATATACATTTTCTTCTCTTTTTTTTTTGTAAATAAAAGGATTGATAACAAATTTGCACACACTATCCCACCCCATAGTGTAAGACTGGAACAATAAGGCTTTGTCCGTTTAGTCCCCATGAGAAAGGGATTGGAGAGAAATGAGGGGAATAATTCCACACCATAATAGGTTTGCAATTAATCCCCTCCAAATCCCCCCTCAGTCCCATAGGATGGGGGATTAAACGAACAATACCTAACAAGGATATGCACCGCTCTCTTTTCCTCTCCATTCACATGCTTCCAATTCATTCCATCAATAGTTGTAACTAACAGACATGCATAATTGTAGGTCGATTTCGTTTCTAGCTCTGCTAGGTTTACCAGCCTCCCACAAGTAAATAATACTGTTCGAGCAAGCAAAAATCTTCCAGGACCATGGGCGGCCTAAAAACCTACTGCACGAGCAGATGAACCAATCAATCCCCCATAGCAAGCGGCAATCGCATCGCGTGGAATCGACAGGGAAAAGGAGAGGTTCGCTCACGATGTCGTCGAGGTGGAGGCAGGCGGCGTCGTCGGCGCGGCCGAAGCGGAGGACGAGGACCTTGTCGAGCGTGTCGCGGATGGCGGCGTCCACCTCCGGCTTCCGCCGCAGCGTCGGCAGCAGCGCCGACCCCATCCCCTCCTCGCCGGAATCGGAAGATTTTCTCTTCCTCTCTCCTCTCCTCTCCTCTCCGCGCGTCGTCGGCGGCGACCTTGCAAGCGGCGGCCGGGGCGGGGAAAGGAAAGGAATATGGGCCGGTTCGTGGGCTCTGGATAAGCCCACCTGGTTTTCTGGGCTGGCATTTCATTTCTAGCTTCCGCTCCGTTGGGAGCACAAGAAAAAATAAATCGATTTTTTCTGGGTTTTCAAAAAAAAAATTCGAATGCACGGCAGGCACACGCAGACATACTAGCAGCGAGAAAAAACGTCAAATATCAGGCAAAGAATCACCCGAGTGATGTATAGCAAAATCGCAAAAGCTATAGCAAAATCGGATTCTAATGATCCCACTGGAGTTGCATGCATTGCTTTATCCTGGCCGTATGGGCCCCACCCCACCCTGGAGATAATAGCAGCGAGAAAAAACGTCAAATATCATGCAAAGAATAACCCGAGTGATGTATAGCAAAATCGACATACCAATACAGCCACAACATTATACTCACACCCCCGTATGTATCCCCTAACTAAGGATGGTAATTGGTTAGGACCCATGGACCCATAGGCCTAAGGGTATGTTTGGTTGGTGGCTACAGTTTGCACACCAAACCTTAGTCGTGTCACAATTTATTAGGTTAGTGTTTGATTAAATGTCATAATTGGGTTAAGTCATATTTTATTAGTATTTTGGCACACGCGTCATACTCATATTTTCTAGCCAAAATTTATTATAACTAGGAAGGTGGCCCGCGCGCATGCGCGGGCACTTATATTATTGAAAAGTAAGATTTGTATTCTTTGTTCAAAAATTTTGTCTCATAGATTAAGGAAAAACTAAAGTTCGGATAATGTTATTTTGTAATAATTTAAGGGTTCTATTTTTCTTAAGGTATCTTAAAAATCCTTTGAAAAACTGTTTTTGCAGGGGCTAAACAGCGGAATCAGTTGGGCCGCCTCTAGACAAAGTTGTAGAGGTTTTTCTTAGCTTTCCATATTGGTAAAGTACACTTTGATTGGGCGAGTAGAACTCTAGTTATGGTTGTTTTAGTGTGGACAGTCTGAAATTCTGGACAGATTCTGAAGCCTGCTTTCAAGCGCTAATTAGACCATTTAAATGGCATAATAAAAATATGATTTCACATAAGAGTTGTAGGCCTTGTTCTTCAGATTTCCAAAATGTATTTATTTGCGGTCATAGCCATTTCATATTTCAAGATATAAAGGTTTGAAGCAGCAGTCTTGTTTATAGTCCAAGCGGCGTTCCTTGTTATTGCGTTGTGATGGGATAGGGCAGTAGGTTCACTTTTTTTCATTGTTTTATACGCATGTTTGAATGTGTTTGCTGAGATTTTGTTTGTGATTAGGTGGTGGTACTTCAGATCATGCATGATACCAACCATTCATTGGAGGCAAGTGCATGACGAACTAATTGTGTAATTCATGGATTGTTTGCTCTATCTATTTATTTTAGATATATTTCTATGTGACATGTGACCACTTATATTCATATTGTTGTTCGTGCCATTTAGGTTTTCATGTTTATCCTATGTTTACGACGTTATTCTTGTTTCAATATTCCGGATTCTGGTTCTGCATAAATAATTCAAGTTCCCTGCTTGCCATGGATGTGCAATATGGTTTCAATTTGGTTCTTTGATTCCGGTTTCAATTATTCAAGTACCATGCGTAGTCATGGGAGTGCAATTTGGTTCTTTATTCAATTTCCTATGGGTAAGCGCTGATCACGCTTACTCGGCTTTGCCGGCAAATGCTAGGATGTATTCACTATTGTCCGGGATGGAAACTACTATTTCAATTCATGCCTGCCCGAGATGGGAACTACTATCTTCTTTGACTTGGTGTATCAACGAAAGAAAGACTTCTGTTCATGCTTTATTGCCAATATTGTGTATATGTGTTTTCTAGTTCCATATTGTACTTGCTGAGTATTTTTATACTCACTCTTGTGTTTTATTTGGTTTTAGGTACATATTGAGACCGACATGCATGGGCGGGAAGTAGCACCCTTATATACACATCCACTTTCACACTATCAAACTATATTGCTTAGGTCCATAATGACACTTAAATTATATCCTGGTTTGGTCTTGTAATAATCTTTTAGATTTCTAATAGTTTCTTCCCCATGAATTATAAGGATGGATCGTATTGTGGGAATGATATTGTTATTAGTTTAACTTACAGTTGCCTATCGTGGATGTCCGTATTTACAGGGGAGACTCTGCTGAAATTTCTAATTTTGAAAGTTAGTGGTTTGAGTGTTTTTTTAGTGTGGCACTCCAGGTACGTGGCTACCTGGGGCGTTACAGTACCTGTTACAGATTCATCTTACGATCTTGATTATATGTTGATCACCATGACTCGCATGAAAAAAAAATATACTACTTAGGGTTTACGACAACTAAAATTGATGAATTATCTTATTTATATGATAGCTATTTGAGATTATAAATGAATGAATTAACTTCTAGAAAGTTAACAAGTTGTTTAAAAAAGCACCATTTAGGAACTTGGAAAGCGTGGAGCGTGCAAACAAAAATCCAAAAGATGGAATCAGGAAAAAAAAATAGGCCGTTAAACTCCCTTATAACACTCTTGTCCTAGTAAGAGTTCTATTGATATTCATTAATATTGTCCTCACATTTATACATAAAGATTTCTTTCAACTGTATGAATAAATAATACAAAATACAAATACAACATAACACAATACATTATAATTATTATGTAATCAACTATTGGTTTCAGCTTAAATAGAGCTAAGTGTTGGATAAACTCAACCCACGATGCTTAATTCTTCTCTCGTTGCATCACACCTTTAATTTTCTTTTCATGTTATTAACAAAATCAATCATCTCTATATATGATTTGATGTGTGGCAAAGCGGTAGCGCTGCAGCGGTCATGATCACCTTAGATGCCTCAGACACAACGCTTTGTCACACGTGTGAAAGGCAAAGGTGCAAACATGCATTGTGCTGTGGGCCAAAAAAAGGAGAACTTCGGACACTTTATTTATTAGCAATAGATCCGACGTTTTAAATAATGGGTTCACCGGTTCAGTGTAAATGTAAATTAGTTAATATAAATTTTAATTTGTTAATTTAATGGGTACACAATATAATGGTGTAGACTTTATTTTAAAACAGTGCATTATTTGAAAATAATAGTCCAAAGTAATAAAAAATAGATCCGATGATTTAAATAATGGGGCCATCTGTTTAAGCGCACGTATAAATTAGTTAATATGGATCTTAAATTGTTTATTTGATAGGTACACAATATAATTATGTAAATTTTATTTTAAAATAGTGCATTATTTGAAAATAATAGTACAGAGTAATGAGTACACCGGTTTAAGTGGAAATTATCTTACATTATTGATTTAATGGGTAAACGTATAATGGAATAAATTTTATTTTCAAAGATTGTAGAGCTAATTTAGTTACATGTGTTTATAAAGAATTACATGATGGTATATTCTTTGTTTGTAAAATTTTTAAAAAATATATCAATTGTATAAATGGAAAAAAGAAGAAAAAAAGGGAAAAAAATGGAGGGAACCGTACGTACTACGTATCCATGTACCTACTACGTGACCTATGCACGGAGAAACAGGAGAGGTGGGACCCATATTATTTTGTTTATTTTATGATCAATCTCATCTAACGGCGTATAATATTAGACCCATCAATTTAAGTGAAAATAAAGAGGTAGATGTTTTGCTTTTTTTCTTAGAATTTCTAGGATTTTCTCTAATTTATTAGAGCGTCACGTGGCAACTTGAGAGCGTTTGCAGGAAGTTTAATGGACTTTTCATCTAACGGCGTATAATATTGGACCCATCAATTTAAGTGAAAATAAAGGGGTAGATGTTTTGCTTTTTTCTTAGAATTTCTAGGATTTTCTCTAATTTATTAGAGCGCCACGTGGCAACTTAAGAGCGTTTGCAGGAAGTTTAATGGACTTTTATTATATAATAGATAGATTGTGGCCAATAAATTGTAGAGTAGAGTATAAATAAATCGTTGGCAACACAAAGTGTGACTTGCCACAATTTTCGCAAATGAGGTTGTAGCAAAGTTAGCCTCCATCCAAATAACATTTAAATATATTTAAATAAAAAATATACTAAATTTCAGCTCAACCTTTTTTACTCAGTCATTATATTTTGTAGGCTAAAAAGTTAGGCCCATTACCACCCCTAGCCCTAAAACTCGCTCCAAGAGACGAAAACCCAACAGCTCTAAGAGATGGAAACCTAGTAACACTAAAATCATGTTGAAAACCCATCTATATATGTGTAATATTTGTGGTTATCAAGATTTGGGTAGAGTAATATACCTACGACTCAACTAGCAAAGGGGTGCTTCCCAAACTTTTGATTTGTTTGGTGCGAAATTTCCAAGTTTCATTGGGTGGCAAGCTTGGAGGTAACTAAACTTGAAATATTTGGTTGAATGATGATGTCTGAATTCACTTGGGCAAGAACACGACGCATCACAGTTTTTGCTGCCAAAATTTTTTTTCAGGTTGGGAGTCATTCTGTGGATAATGATTGTTTTTCGCATACCACCGGGATAATGATTGGCAAGTGGAGTTCTGATGCTGTTTTTTAATCATTGTCTGCGTAAAAAAATGATTGAGTATACCTATAATTAATCAGTTTAGCACAAATTATGAACCTGCTAGAAAATTCCATACAGCTTCAAATTATTAGTTTGGGAATTAAATTTTCGTAAAAGATATGATGACAAATCATCGCAGTTTACATGAGTGAATGCAAATTTCTGCTGTTTTAGCTTTGATTATTGCAGCCTTGGCCCTATTCTGATCACTCGTTTTTTTTTCTAAGCTTTAATTTGTTCCTTTTTAGCTTCAAGAAAATTCGAGACTGAACTCTGGACTATGAGTGAATTATAATATTTGTTGTTTTAACTTGATCATTGAAGCCCTGAGCCCCTGACCCAAATTTGATCATATTTTTTACTTAAAAAATGAGGACAAAAAAAACTTAGTTATTAAATGATTAGGAGAAAAAATTAACATGTTGAGAATTGAACATGGGTTAAAACCACAGATACCTTACTAGTGCA